CAGCTGCCCCCCCCCCCTACCTCCGACTGCTTTGTGGTGCTGAGCAGCCCTGCCCATGACATAGCCCCTCACTCCCCATCCACAACCCCACAGACCTGCAGGAGGAGGCCCCAGCTATCAGGGCTATGGGGCCAGGGACCCAGGTCTGCAGCCCCATCCCACACAGCAGCGCCAGAGCCCTGGCTGCTGCCTGCTGCAGGCAGCAGCTGCTGCAGTTGAACAGAGCCCAGATCCCCTTTCCGCATGGGTGGCACAGCCAAAGTGGAGCCTGTGAGGGGCAGATGTTGGCTGGCTGCTGTGGGCTTGGACTCCTCGCCCTGCTGCCTTCCCCATGGGGCCTCTGCAACCCAGCAAGTGGGACTCAGCGTAACAGGGCAGATTGGGGTCGGGCAGGGAAGCTTGTTGCCACCACTAGGAGATCTGTGCCCCTGCCCATCTGGCGGCAGTGAAGGGCACAACTCTATGCCACTATCCCTTTTGCTGCCAGGCGGGTAGGGGGTGCCTCGCCAGGGCGGTGTAGGGATTGTGGTTGCACCGAACTTCCCTGCCCTGCTCTGCCCTGCTGTGCCAGGTCTCACTTGCTGGGTAGCAGAAGCCCCAGGAGGAGGGCAGCAGGGCATGGAGCCTGAGCCCGCAGTGGGCAGGCCACCCTGTGCACAAATCTGGGGGGCCCATGCACCCCATGCTGCCTCCAGGAGTTGCCCGCAGCTCTGTCCTGCTCCCTGCCCTGCACGTGCGCATTCTGGCCCTGGGCCTCAAGTCCCACCTGAGCTGGGCAGCAGCCTCAGCCCTGCCCAACTCCCTCCTTTGCTAGGGGGGCCTCAATCCGCATCCCTCCCCCCCCACTTACCTGTGGGAGCTGTTCTCCAGGCTGCCTGGCAGCCATATGCACGTGTACATGCGCACATGCACATAGCACCCCCTGCTGATCGCCCTTCTCCTGCTCCCCCCAGCCCCTTGCAGATTGGAACTCTGCCAGCTTGTAAGGGAAAACACACCATTTTCTGCATCTTCCTCCTTAAAATGAGAAAATCCGGGTTTTACCACATTTTTCCGTGGCAAATGGAAAACCCGGATCCCTGTTGATTAGCAATGTTCCTCAGCAGAGCTAAATAGCAGTTACTGTAATGTGAACTCAGCTATGCTGCTTCCAGCTCAGGAGTTAGCACGCGCAGAGCTAGCTTAGGTGACTTTGCAGAAAGTCTACACGGCACAAGGCAGCACTGTGAAGAGACAAGGCACTTGTAGTTCTCCACAGCTGGTGGGTCCAGCAATGCTGGGTAACCTCACCTAATTTGTTGTGTGGTAAAACTCTAATGCCTTTTCATCACCCTGCTCTTACAATGCAATAACTAATTCATGTTAGTTGTCCTATGGTAAAAACAGACTTTTGGAAGTGAAAGCACAGCCTTAGAATTCTGATCCCCTGACCTGCCTCAGAAGTGAGAAAGAGACTCATTTTCAACTGATGTATTTTAAAAAAGTAACAATACTTTGTCTATCTGTACTTTTCATCTGATGATTTGAAAGCTCATTACAAAAGATTGGCATTACTTCCCCCATTCTTCAGTCAGAAAAGTGAATCATGGAGAAATGAGTCTGCAGACCCAGGCAGTACATTCTTTTCCCTTCCCTCACTGCCCCCTTGCAGAGAGGAACCAGCTTGTCAACTCTTTGCCTGTATAGTGCCTGGCATAATGAGGTTTCATTCTTAGTTGGTCCTTAGACACTATTAATTATCATGCTGACTGTGGCAATTAAGAGAATTAGTGATGTGCACAAGAGGCAGCTTATGTGTGAGACCAGTGGCAGATGTAGGAGTAGAACCCAGGTCTATGCACTAATGATTTAATAACCTACAGATTTAAGATGTGCACAAACTTTTAATAGCCCTCTGATAATTATTTTGTTACAGTTCTGTACCTGAGTCATGGGTTTGAATTCACTGTTATGTCCAGCACCAATAAGGTAATGAGCTTTAATTCCCACTTCTTCAAATTTTGCATTGTCCTTGATCCACTGAAAGAGGGCATATGCGCTTTGTCGAGTTTTTGTGAAGATAATTCCTCTTGCTTCATCTGTCTTTGTGAATTCTTCCATTAAAGTGTTTCGCAACTTTGTTAGCTTCTCATTCTCATATTCTGGCTTGCCAGCAATTGTTTTCAACTGTTTCCTTTTTTCTTTAAATACAGTAGATATTAATCAACAAAACATCATGTAAATAAAAGCAGAGTGATCTGCAACTTTTCATATACTTCTCCCCTCATAGTGGCTAATTTTCCACATAAGGAACTGTGGCACACCAGTTTACTCTTTAATTACTTAGTGTTAGTTCAAAAATGTTAGCAACAAATAAAAAAAAAAATCACCCAAAATAACTACACTTTATGGTGAAAATAAGCAAGAAAGCTATTTAGATACAATAGGACTAATTAGACTTTCTATACAAGAATGCAAACACTACCATCATCATTTTAATATCTCCAGTATAACCAGTTTTTCATACTCATATTATTTAGAAAGAAGCTTGAGAATAACTCTCATATTCTAACACTAAAAATCTCCTATTTAAGAAACACTAGCATTTAACATGGGTGTATATTTATGGGCTGGTGACTTTGGGAAGACTGAGTCCATTCTTATCAGAATGCTCCTATAAGAGAACTTCTATTTTATGAAAGAAGCTCCATTGTTTAAACGTAAGTAAATAAATAACTCTTCAGTTCCTTATGAAGTAAAACACTGTATGCAACAAAGTTGCAGCTGCATGGCCTTATATAAATATGCTTTCTGAAATACCTGCCTTTGCAAATACAATTACTACTTTACACAACAGTATTAATAAAAAGATCTATCTACAGACATTATTTCAGATATGCGTCTGTTGAGAACATCAACTTTTAACATTATGTGAAATACGCAACATGAAAATATTTCTGCAGTAAAGGATTACGTATTTTGACCTGGACATACTGTCTAATGCTGATATGTCATTTAATGAAGTGGTTCTCAACCTCTGGCTCAGAGCCATGTCATCTGGCCTGTGGAGCTCTCCAAAAGTCTGGAAATTTGGCAGTGAGGGAGCAGTGGGAATGAATGCTGCCACCGCTCCTTTGCTTTCAAATTTCCAAGCCCTGTAGCCAGATGACGTGGCATGAGGGGCAAGGGCAGTGGACCTGATTCAGCGTGTGTGGGGCTAGAGCCAGGGCAGCAGGCCCAATCAAGTCATGGGGCCAATCTGATGTGTAGGGCTGGGGCCACATAGTGGGATGGCCCATGGACAGATCCTGCACAATACATCCAGCTTGCAGACCAATCTTGCACCACTCATCCAGCCCACAGCCCAGGAAGATTGGGCGCCACTGCTTTCTTTAATGTATTGTACACAGCATATTGTTGAACACAGATACTTTAGAAATGACCACTATATCAATGTGCCCAGGCAAATCAGGAGTTTGTGTCAGCACTTGTTATGTATTGCATACCACAGGTTTCATGCTTACCATAAAACAAATTTAACAGAAATGTATCAGTTGCATCCTGTTTTGATGCTACTGGCTCATCATCATCATCATCATCCCTTATTTTTGCTTTCTTGCTTTTCTCCTCTTTATAGAAGTTATTGAGGTGGTTGTATGCATCGATCATTCGAATCGTGTCATTAATTTGTAAGGCATCACTGTATTTCTTCAAATGTTCTGCACAAACACGTTCTTTGCGTTTCTCTTCTTTTGCAGCTAAAAAAAACAACATAATATTGTATGTGTATATTGTCACACATACAATATACACACACCACTGCTTTTCAGTAAACCGTCCTCAATATCCACTGCCATGATATTCATAGATTATATTAAAGCATTTTTTTAAATTTACCTCTTTTCTCTTCTTTAACTACCCACTGTTCATAAGGCTGAGTTCCAAACTCAGAAGTTGCACTGAGTTGACAATAGGTATGAATCTCTTGCATGATTGCTATAATTTTTTCTTTAAAAGGGTCCTAAAAGCAAATTATTGAACAGTCATAACACTTATAAATATTATGAAAATAGCAAAATAAAATGACCTTTTCAGCTGAACATTATAAACTCTAAATTCTTAAAAACTTAAAATTTTGATTTATAAAAAGCAATTGATGTTGCTCAAAATACTTCGCTATCTAAGCACTAACACCAGGGAAATGAAATGTAGTACATCATGACAATTTGCCCATAGCCTACACTATTAGCAAGTTTAAAGTCATAACTTATTTCATCACAGCACAATCTTAACCAAGACCCAAAATTCTTGCTAAATAGAAGTACAAGAAACAACCTTTTGAAGAGATGTTAAAAGATTTCCATTTAACTTGACCTTCCTTGACTCTATCCATGTTAAGAAATACAGCATATCAGTAACAGATATTTTCCCTTATATTCATTAATATATTTTCTTCCTCTACAAAAGAGTCAGTTTATCATTAGATGGGTAGAAATATCTTGGTGCCTTTTGGGGAATTTATGACGTTTATTAAGCTATAATATCCAAAGCTGCCTGGTGGATCATTATCAGCCTGCAAGGCAACAGCATCAACCTTAAAGCCTTGACTGAAGGGATTATATCTTTAAAGATCAATAATGACATCTTCTTAAGTCTCTATGCTGTGCCTAGTTCCTTGTGATCAGACCTGAGAAAGAATGTCTTGCATTTGAAAGCTTGTCTAACTATTCCAATAAAAGATACCACCCTAAGAAAATTTTGTCTCTCTTTAAAGTTCAATGCATTTTGCTGCTAAAGCTTTACAAAATATACCTTTCTTTTATCATCTGCAATCACAAACTTCTTATATGGTTCCTTCACTTGATCGGTCAGCTGGGAGGCATGTTCTTCAACAGTCATTATTCTACAAGCATCAAGATTTGCACATATCTGGATAAGAGGGAGATTTTTTTAATCTTCAAATATTCTGTGAGTTATATGACACACAAGTTCAATACATGCACATTCTTAATTTAAATACTGTTTCAAAATACCTGGTTTAAACTTAAGTTCAGCCTGAAAAGGCAGCATGTAATTATAGTACAGTAATGGAAAATGTCATGACTTTTTGAAAGGCATCTCAGACAAAACTAATCAAACTAATTTCTGCCTGGGAAAGGAAAGATTTAAATGAGAAAATCTGAGGCATAAAAAAGAACATTTAGATAAGATAGAATAGTAAAATAAAATAAAATTAAGGAATTATAGAAATTAAAACTGGACATAGAAGTGCAAAAATAACTGGAAATGCCTTTGAGAACAGAAGAGAGATACTGACTCAGGAGCTTATTCAAATTACTGATTTGTCCTCAGTTAACAGTTCTACATATTAGAAACAAATACTTTTGGTTGATCACTGTCCTCTCTTAAATGATTTACACCTGTTGAATAGGAAGTGTATGACTGCTTTATCCTATGCAACTCATTAGCAGCCCCCCAAAAATGTATGCAATAAACACTGTGTACTTGGAAATATTCTACTATTTCTAGTAGAATCTTCTGTTTCTAGAATTAAAAATACCTGCAAATAAAGTGTTGCTCCTTTGTGAAAACTAGTTATGCCTACTCTTAATCTGAGAATTGATGCATTCAGTGTGCCTTTCAACTGAAGTCACTTCATCTATGTACCTGATCCTGCAAACCTAGACTAGATTTAGCCCCTACTTATACAAGTACTTCAGTGGGAGAATTTGCTAATGAGCTTATAAAATCAAATGGTATGTAGAGACCAACAACTGGATGATACTTTTAAGGTCCAATACTGACTTCAATAGTTTTTCTTTGTTATTAGTGACTTTAAGGGCTATTTACTTTCAGAATATGTTCTATGGCTTTTGCTTGGTTTTTTGCACCTCCCACACCGGGTGAAGCAGTCAGTCCCAGGATCTGAGGCTGTTGAATCACTTGTTTATTTTCTTTTTTTAGTTTCTCATTTTTCATCTTTTCTTTTAAATAACATCGCATTATATTGTTGTAGACACCTTCCTTCTGGGTGTGATGACATTCATCAATAATGATAAGAGAAAAAGCTGAAAAACATAACCAGTATTAAACAGTTACTTCTTTAAACATTGTACATGAATAAGTCAATCCGCTACGGGGCAAGGATACTAAGCGTTTATTAGTTTTTCTCAACTATAACATATATGGGCTTTAACAGAAAATAAATCTTATGCTGCTATATTTATATGTATCACAGTACACATTGAAATCTTTGTCTGAAACAGCATTTTTAAAGCACAGAGTATTTTTTACCTTACACAGAAAGCATCAAAACTTTTGCAAAAATTACATGAGAAAGATCTGAGCTCCAGGAACATGCTTAACCATTAGAGAGAATCTGCCACAGTTTGATTCAGCCCTACAATCTTCTATGAACAGATCCACAACATAAATTGTACTTTATTATTATTTCTTCACAGGAACACCCATGACTTGTTAGGAGCATTCTAGACATTCCAAAAGAGACAGCCTTGCCCAGAAAGCTCACAGCATAAAATAGATGGAGTAGTCTTAAGTGCAACAGTTAATTTAAAAATAAAAAGAAGCTATTTTGTATGCATAGAAAGTAATTTATAGAAGAGAACAAAGGCTATTGGTAAGAACAGAAAAACTATGAGAACACAGGCCATGTAATCATGGAGGGTGATTTAGATATTGTTTGCTTTTCTTTTTTTCTGGTCAGATGTTCATTTAAATGCAACAACAAGAAGTCCACAGTACTACAGTTGGAAAGGAACCCTGTCAGTTTTGCTTAGTTTTGTTTTAAATCATAAATTATAAGACATAAAATGGTTCCCTGTACTATTTTCATTGGCAGGCAAGAGAGTGAAAATTAAGAGGCTATGAGTAATGGTAAGGAGCTGGGTAGGAGAACTGGAAACTAAACAAAAGGCATTTTATTTGGGGTCTCCAACAGCATATCTAGGAAATGCTATATATCACTGACAAAATATGATCTTCATTGCACAGGACTCTAGTGCAAGGGTTGGCACACTAGAGCCTGCAGGCGAGATCCAAGTGATCAGAGCTGGCTCATAAAGCTGAGACTTCTGGGGCAATTCCACGGGTAGGGACCTACCGAATTCATGGCAGAAGTGGGGTGCACTGTGGCTCCTTTAAACTTGCAGGTTCCCTCATGCCCCCACCTACTCCACTGATTGGTGGAGGGGCCCCGCTTGCAGCTTGCTACTGATCAGCAGGGAGGCAAAAACTGCAGTTTTAAATATGATGCCGTTTGGTTGGCTGAGGGGCCCTCGATGGTCCTGATGTTTGCTGCTGACTGGTGGGAAGGCAAAAACAGCACCATATTTAAAACTGCAGTTTTAGCTTTCATGCTGATCAGGAGGGAGCAGTAGGGCCGTCCACTAACCAGCAGTGGGGCGGGGCGGGGAAGGGAGGGAAGCAAGGTGCACACAGGGGAACATGCAATATTGAAGGAGCTGCCATGCACTCTACCTCCGCCATGAATTCGGTAGGCCCCTATGTATGGGAGGTGAGCACTGTGACGGGGGCAGCAGTGGCAGCACTGCAGTGGTGGGAGAAGCAGTGGCAGTGGTACTTGCCAATTCAAAGGCAGCAGCCTACCTTCAAACCTAACTATTAAAGCAGTCCACTGCTCTGAAAGGTTACTGTTGTCTGCTGTATTAAATCTATATCAAACAGTATGAAGCAATCTGCTTTGTTTCTAACTATTTACTGCAAGATTACTGTTGGCAGCCCTGGCAGGTTTTCAATTCATTAAAGGAATAGAACTGGGCCACGTGTGGAGAGAGATTGGTGCTGGAGTACCTGCAGCTACAGAGATTCACTGAAGAGTGCATGGACTACAAGAGAAATGGCAGCTTAGCAGCTGGCATTTATGTCAGGCCAAAGCTCTGTAACCTTCCACCTCCCTGGCCAGGGCACTTCCCAGGGTGTGGAAGGGGGAATTGGCTTGATGCCAGTACCACCTCCCAGGCAGTTGAGTTCAGGGGGTGGAAAGTTTGTCCGCATGGGTTGTGGGGGAGGGGGCATGACAAATACTGCATCCTGGGATCCTGGAGGACTGAAACTTGAGCAGCTCATCTGTGGGGAGATGCTTAAAACTAGTTTATGTCTTAATTTGTAGAGAATCCAGTAGTCAAGAGCTCCCTGAGCCACTTAAGATTAATGTGTAACAAAGCCCTACATTTCTTCATCAGTACAAAGGAAAATAACTAGGAGCTGCCTACTACAGACGTGGGAGGAGGAATCCCACATCTGTGTATTTACTATAGTGAGCTAAAAGCCAAGGATTCAACGGCATTTATGTTCTGAAACGTGACTTCATATAAATGGTATCTTACTACTTGCCTCTTAGTTTGTATTTAGTTATACCTGTGGAATCAGTCATATATGATGACTTCAGAGTAGAAGCTATTTTAGTCACTATTTTGCCCAGCATCCCTCTCAGAACAAAACAGCTGAGATTTGTGTGAGCTGGGTTCTATACCTTCTATGCATCATCCAATCTATTCATTTTCACAAACCCACTGAAGGGAAAGAACTGCAGAGAAGCTACCAATAAATAAATAAATAAGTTTCTGGTGATCACGCCTAAGACTAAAGGACCTATTTTGGGCTTCATTTTGCAGAATTAAGGGTTAGAAAAAAATTAATCATGCAAGAATAAGCACTGAATTCTGCCCTAGCATTTTTACCCTGTTATTTTCCAGACTAACCACCCTAAGTGAGAACTTGAGACAGAAAAACTCACCTGATAAATGGATACCTTCTTCATCTTCTGTAGCTGCATTCGACATTGAATTCTGAAGGATCTGAGCAGTACTTATAATGACATCATTTTTCCTGACAACTTCAGGGAATGAAATCTTCATCTGAGAATCACCACTTAATCTAGTAACTTGATAGCAATGCTTCAGGAATGGATAGAACTCCTTTCGGAAGTGCTGTTCCACTAATGGTACCTGAACAGAAGTTTGTAAAGAAGAGTTTTAACTGAAGAGCATGCACAGAAGGCATTCTATTGTGCACACAGTTCTGAATGAGACAACGTATGATAAAACAACTTCCTTCCAAGGCTACAGAATTTCCCTCCTCATTTTGGCTCTTTTGCAGTTTTTTCAAGAAGAAGAATACATTCTGGATTTATATAATTTTGTTTCACACTGGTAGATATTTTTAAGATGGGGCCTTCTATTGTTCTTTTGTGTCTATTTAAAAATTCTAATGGCGAAAGAATTTTTACTATACTTTAATATTTCAATTGAAAAAACTTAATTTATACATTTCCTTGCAGTACTGAGCTGTTTTAAAGGAACTAACCAGAAAAACATGACTAAAGCAGATCTAAGGAGGTGATCCACCCCCTCTATGTGACATTGGTCAGGCTGCAGTTGGAGCACTGTGTCCAGTTCTGGGCGCCACACTTTAGAAGGGATGTGGCTAGCATTGAGAGGGTCCAGAGGAGGGCCACTCGCATGGTCAGGGAGTAGCAGGGCAGGCCCTACAAGGAGAGGCTATGGGACCTGAACCTGTTCAGCCTCCACAAGAGAAGGCTGAGAGGGGATCTAGTGGCCATCTATAAACTTACCAGGGGGAGACCAGCGGGGAGTGGGAGAGGCCCTGTTCCCCTGAGCACTACCCGGAGTAACTAGGAATAATGGCCACAAGTTGATTGAGAGTAGGTTCAGGCGGCACTACTTCACAGCCAGGGCGGCTAGGATCTGGAACCAACTTTGAAGGGAAGTGTTGCTCACTCCTACCTTGGGGGTCTTCAAAAGGAGGCTAGATAATCACCTAGCTGGGGTCATATGATCCCAGCATTCATTCCTGCCCATGGCAGGGGGTTGGACTTGATGATCTGCTCCAATCCCTTCTGACCCTAACACCCTAACAACTAAGAAGGATGTTGATAGACTCGAGAGGGTCCAGAGGAGGACAAGTCCTATGAGGAGAGACTGAGGGACCTGGACCTCTTCAGTCTCTGCAAGAGAAGGCTGAGAGGTGATCTTGTGGCTGCCTACAAATTAATTAGTGGGGCGCAGTAAGGGATCGGAGATGCTCTGTTCACTAGGGAGCCTCTTGGGTGGAACAATGGTCACAAACTGACAGAGCGGATTTAGGCTAGATATCAGGAAAAACTTCATGGTAAGGGTAACCAAAATTTGGAATGGGCTTCCAAGGGAGGTGGTGCTCTCCTCTACCTTGGAGGTCTTTAAGAGAAGGTTGGATAGGCATCTGACTCCAGCACTCTTTTCTGTCTTTCCTGCCAGACTCAATGGTCTGTTGATATCCCTTCCAACCCTAGCATCTATGAATCTAAAGATTTCTTACAAAGAAAAGTGGGACTCATTAGGTGGCTCTCATTAACACACCCATATGGACAAGTAGCCTAATGATGAAAAGTAAATTTAGACTTTTCCAAATAATATTTTCAGTTTTAATTATCCAAATTACTATTCATAAAACAAGCAATTGATAACTTTTTTCTATAGGAAATGAGCCAGGTAGATTAGGCTTTCAGTAGTACTGGTGCAAAGTGAGGTTCTTTGAATTTATATCTGTATCTACACAGGTTTTTCATATCTACAGTCTATATTATTGTTATACCAATTTGCAATAATTTCAGATGTCCAATATAACAATATAAATGGCTAATACTGCTTTTATGGCACAAGATACCTTATTGACAAGTACTATAACTTTTCCACACTCTGATTTTCTTCTCTTCTTATCCAGGTGATCTTTGGTAATGTAAACAGCCACTCTAGTTTTACCACTGCCTGTAGGGAGACATATTATAACATTCTCTCCGTTCAGTGCTGGTTTTGCAACCTCCATCTGGTAATCTCGGAGGACCAGCTCTGGTTCCGGTGAAGCTCTACTATCTGCATCATCTTCATCTAAAAATAAAGATCAAATAGAGATAATTACATGAAAATGATATAAATTACAAGTGAGGTCATGTAAACCAATGTAAATTTAACTATATTATATGTTTTCAGAGTGAAATAAAGACTTTTCCCTATAATTTTTCCTGATTCAAAAAACTAATTTTCCTTTAGCTAGCAGGAAATGTTCTACAGATATTTGGACAGAGTAAAAAGTTGAATTTTGAAGAAAATGCATATATTCAGACAAGAAACTGTGTTGAAAAGCAGACCAGGCAGAATTGTTTAGAATATAATATAAGCAGGAAACAAGTAATAAATATATAGTCAGATACTGTATTAATCTTTGCATGAGATTTACCGTCAAACTGTTCAAAATAATTTGAGTAGTGGAAGTTCCACATGCAGTGAACTGGTATAAGCCTGGATGGATTTTAAAGGAAATGTGCTGTGCATTGCCACAGAAAGGACTCTGTCTTAAGTGAAGCTTGTGGTACATCTATACTTTTGAGACTACCACCAAACGTAGTGTGGATAGAGGGGATATTATCCATAGACATTACTGCTGGAGGCAATCTGTATCTTCAGGTAATAAATATCTAATAAAACTCATACCAGATTAATAAAACCAGTGTTAATTATAATATGAGGCATTTATGTATATCCTGATCCAACATCCCCTGTGCCAGTGACTTCATTGAGCACTGGATCAGACCATCATGTTTGATACATTCAATGTGTTATACAAACATTAATCACTCAGGATATATCTTGACTCAAATAAAAGCTGGTTTTGCTTCAAAAGTAATAGGATTTTGAAGCAAGTCTAGGGCTCATCTTGGCTACTGAACACGTGCAAAATACAACTTGCTAGAATTTTAAAACATGTTGGCTGTAATATATTTTAAAAGACAAGAATTTCATATGGTGTATTTCATCAGTGAATTACTAATTGGATACTAATGCAATAAAGTGGTAACAGTTTGATATTTTTAAAAGATAATTGTTTTAAAAGGTGGGTTTAGGAAAAAAAGATGCAAAGCAAGGATAATGAGCTTCTGTATGTAAATCCAAAGCAGCAGTTTTTATAAGCCTTCAAGGAAATAGGTAACTGGATGAAAAAGAAATAACATAAAATATTTAAAAGACTTGATATCCAGTGCAAATACTCTGATGTTTATCAAAACAAAGAAAAAGATACAGAGGAGAGCAAGTTAAATATTTGATCAACCTGGTAAGTTAGTTGGGAGTTTCAAAAACTGAAATTAAGCGCAACAGATGGATGATATAGTACTAGTTTCAATATGATTTATCTATGGGATTTAGCCAGGCAGAAAGCAAACATATGCCCTTGCTCAAAAGAAAGTAGTAGTAATCAGATGACTACCACCAAGCACTTTCTGGTGTGAATTTTCCTGTGTTCTGATAGTATTGCACTCAAGCTAAAAGATAAAACATGAAAAAACACTTAGGATTGAAACCTGAATGTTTCCATCAGCAATCTTTTCTCATGGTTCATTAATTTCTGTTGTTAGTTTAGTTTTATTTAATGGAATCATAGATACGAGAAACAGGACACTTCTTTGTGTATAATGTATCAGTGATGATAAAAATTCTGTGGTTCATTTTCTATTGATATAATAAGATAGCAGAAGCAGGGATTTTTTGTTTTGCTTTTGTCCAGTGTCTTTATCTTCAATATGTAAATGCTGAGAATCGATTATACAAAGAGTTCTATAAAAATATGGATGACATGAAAATAATTCTTAAATTCACTGACACTGTTGTACTGAAATCCATCCTGGCTTTTTAAATGTCATATGTTAATTCAAAGTCCTAATCCTTTTCTCAGTGACTGCAGGCTATGAGACTAGCACTGAGCCTATAATGTCATTTAGCAGTAGCTTTAACATATCATGACATAGTCCAAACAGGAAACTGAAAAAACCCTTGTGCTATGAAAAACTTTGTAACTATATTTGTTTGCAAAAAACAAGCTTGTTCCCGCTCTGAGTTGCTAATATTCCCCATCCTTTTGTGTGTTTTAAGTTACAAAATGAACGGTTTAGCCTTGTAGTATATAGGACATAAGACTTTTCAAAGTGAACACCTCAAATTACATCTGTACAGTCAGTATTGTACAATCTATCATGAAAGCCAGTACAGTTTACCAGTATAGTCTACCATGACCAGGTATAACAGTCCAGATTAGCCCAAGTATATATGGGAGCAACTGAATCTTCCTTTCTGATTGATATACTATAAAATTTCCATCACTCTTTTATTAGTAGTCTCTTAAATAGTGTCTATGCAAGAGATGCCCCCAATGCTGCAGCTCCTCCATATTTTGAAATATCTGGCCTTAAGTAAGGTTGGAGTACAGGTGCCACTGACTTTTGCTGAAGCATTTGGTCCTGCAGTCATGCAAGGGCCACTGAAATCTATTTCTTACCCCTTAGATGCCCTCAAATTAAAGTCAATCAAAGAGCTAGAACAAGTTTGTTCTCTTACCAACTCAGGAGCAAAGCACAACCTGACTTTCCTTTACAGGTTCATTTTGATCTTAGTGAAGCTACAGCAAAGTTAGGTGCTGAAATACTTTGTAGCTGGATACCACTGTAGTTACTAAACATTTATATTATATTCCAGAGACCCACAAGATCCCATTATGTTTATGTGAAAATACGGCCAACCCAGGCCACAAAAGCTTAGGTCCAGATCCCAAAGTTGTAATTTAGGCACCTAAATTCCATTATGGAAAATCGGAGCACCTGCAAGGCTGCTCTAAATTGGGCTGCTTACAGGCTGTGGTGGATGATTACCTAGTGTGGCTAAACACATTCTGCCCTAGCCCTTGAACACTTTCTTTCTTCTCCTTATATCAGGATCTGTCCAGGTTTTTTGTTTTTGCTTTTGTCCAGTAAAAAATTGTCTTTATCTTCACTATGTAATGTAAATGCTGAGAATCAATTATATAAACTGTTCTATAAAAATACGGATGACACTATATTTTTATACAATACTGTCTGCCACCAATATGGGACACACAAGATAGAACCAGCTAAGTTACTTTTGCACCATCAATTGATGTGTACTCCTTTGGATCCATTTACCAGCCTCTCAGTGCAGTTTTAACAGTCCAAAGCAGCCAGAATGAAGTCCAGGATTGACCTGTACATGAATCAGAAGAACCATGGTGGGAAACTACAGATAAATACTTTTCCTGATAATTTGAAAACTTTGAGTGCTGTACAATGCAGATGAAAAAGTGATAAGATGATAGACAGTAAGGAAACACTGGAACTTTCATACTGTATCAGTTGCAGGCCTCATAGGAGATGGGGTTTAGTACATTCCACCCATGTGAATCTGTTAACACACTCCAGAGTCAGAAGCTCACCTGAAAGGATGCTCTAGACTCATCCCCACTGTCTCTTAGACCTACTGAAGACCAAGAGCTCACGGGTAAGTGTTGGAGATGAGTATGGGGCAGCCTCAAGTGCAAGCTTCCAGTTGGGGAACATGGCTGGCAATGGACTTAGGGATTGGTACATGCTCAGCCCCATTCTCCCTAAAACCCACTGCTGGTGTGGTATAGACAAGTCCCTTGTTGAACATCCTAAGCACTCAGGAGGTAGGGAGGCTGTGGAACGAGCCAGGCCGGGGCTTCGCAGATTCCGATGCAGCTGTTTGCAGCCTCCCGGCTACTTGCCACAGCTGGCCCAGGACCCCGGTTCAGACGCCTGCAGCCTCCCCACTTGGGGATGGCCTGAAACCATGGCTTAATTACCTTGATTAAGTTTAATAACACGTGGTTTAATGGCTTCCCTAGGCTTAATCATGGTAATTAAGCTGCAGTTTTAGGCAATTTGCAGGGATGGGTGGGACTGCCAGGTCCCCTTGGCCAATCAGAGGCATTGGGGGGGCTGCACTCAGCCCATGAAAATGGCAGTTAGCCCTGGGATCTGCCTGTGAAATCGGCCAGCTGCTCCTCAAGTTCAGTAGACCACTAGCTATGAAATCTGTAAATGACACCAAGCTGGGACAGGTTGCAAGCAATCTGGACAACAGTATTCAAAATGAGCCCAATAAACCAGAGGTGTCCACAGTCAACAAGATGATATTCAATAAAGGGAAATGCAAAGTGTTGTACTTAGGAAGAGGAAATCAAGTATACAAATATAAAATGGAGAATGGCCAACCAAAGATCAGAACTGCAGGAAACAGTCTGGGGATTGTAACAGATTACAAACTAAATGTGATTCAGTGATGTGACGCTGTTCAAACCGCCCCCAAAAACAAAAAGCAAAATTTAATTTGGAATGAACGTATGAGTCTTTTATGTAAAACATAGGAAGCACTGGTGAGGTCTCAACTAGAATACTGTGCACCCCAGAAAGACAAATGTGATAGAGTCCAGAGGAATGTAACAAGAATGATAAATTATTTAGAAAACCTTATTTATATGGGAAGATTGAAGGAATGGGGTTTGTTTAGTCTAGAAAAGAGAAAGAAGAGGACATAAGTCTTCCAGCACAGAAAAAGTTGGTCACTTCTAATACACAATTATTCACTATGTCCACTGGGGGAGGGACAAAAAGAAACTAGTTTAATTTGCAACAAAGAATTAACTGAGATATTAAGAAAACATTTTTCTAAACATAAGGGTCCAGAAACAGGCTATCTAGGAATGATAAAATTTCCTTCTCAGGAACCTTATAAAAACTTGTTAGAGGAAAACCTCTCAGGGGTGAGCTAGATGTACTTGAACCTGCCTCAGTGGAGGGGATTTGAGTAGATGGTAGGTTTCTTTTGCCCTTACATTTCAATATTTCTTCCTATATTACTATTTAGTTCTGGTTTTTGTTTTTTTACTAAAAGGCAAGAATTGCGGATAATGCAATTTTCTTAGCGAAGAAAGCAAGAAAGGATTAAAGAAAAAGAACTAGATCAAGAGTGAGGCAGTTTAGGTCATGAGTTATGGTTTGTATCCGTTTATAAATCTTATATCA